AAAATATAATTAATATATTTTTAATTTATAACTAATTGGCACAAATTAAAAAAATTCATTTAGTGATTGTCTAGTTTTAATATTAGTGTCGAATTCTTAAAAAAGAGAGAAGTGCTAGACAGTTTGTACTCCTCGTGCTGATTTATTGTACTTTTCTTAGTTTTAAACTTTTAATATTAGTGAATTAAATGTGAAATCGTTTTTTAACAAAATATTATAGAAGCATTTTAAAGCCCGTTTGACAATTAAAGTGCTAAACGGTAGTATCTAATTCTTTAAAAAAATAAAAATAAAAAAGAGTGGTAAACGGTTGTAGTCCACATGCTGATTTATTGTACTTTTCTCCTACTATATCCTCCCTCTGTTCCATTATATTAGATGTTTTAGGAATAAATTTTCGTTCTTATTTATTTGTCATTTTGTGCAAATTAAGACTTCTTAATTTGTCTTTTCACTTTTACCTCCAATAAAAATTTAATGACTTCAAATTAATATTAGTCTGGAAAAGAGAAAAAAAAAAAAATCTCTCTGCCTTCCTCTGTTTCGTATATTGCACCTTTTGGGTTTATGAATTTTGGAAAACTCTTCTAAATTGCTGTTTCTTAAAAAATTCTTGAGTGACTTCACACGCACAGAATCTGAATATAAGCGTGCCACTTATTTTTTTGAAAAGCAAGAAAAATGAATTTTCCCAATGATCATCTCTTTCTACGTGGTCGACCTTCGTTAAGATGACTGAAAGAACGTTGGTTTAAGATTAAGTTTTATGCCCTTTAAACGATTTGCAAGAGAGAGGGATGTCATCTTGCAGAATGGATTTCCAATTTGCCTTGAACAATCTTAAAGACTTTACCACTATCGTGAATTTAAGTTAATAGATCTAAAATGAATTGAGTGAGATGCAAATTAAAATGGATTTCCAATCTGCCTTGAACAATCTTAAAGACTTTACCACAATCGTGAATTTAAGTTAATAGATCTAAAATGAATTGAGTGAGATGCAAATTAAAATAAACTTGATGTTTATTGCATGAAAGGAAATTAGAGAAGAAATTACACAAACTAATTTGAGTACTTGAATGTTGAAAACAACCTAAAGCTATTGGGATCTATGCTAAAACTGAAATTTAAAAGCTAAAGTGAACAATCACTACGAAACTAAAAGATTGAAAATTTGATGAGTTTCTGTGTAAGACTGGTCGTGTCTTGAAAAAATTTAAAAAGCTTTTATTTATATGCTTCTTGCAAATTGTCTCTTGACTGATCCGATCATGGATAACTTCCTCTTACATTCTAGGGATTTTTGTTCCATTTAAATTTAAGTTGCAACAAACCAAATAACCTTTATTCTCCCAACCAATTTAACAGATATACAATCCTTTAGTGGATTTAATCTCACCTTATCTATTGAGACGTGACATTACTAAAAATGCAATTTATGGTGTAAACAATGGCTAAACAAGCAAGCAATACCAGCGGATCTTGGATTTGATCTAAACAAACATGCAATACCCACAAGTTTTTGTAAAGTAAAAATTTCTTGCTATACTAATTTTAAGCAATTGCTCTTGCAATACAAAGAAATGGGATAGATTAGGAAATTGGAAACAAAGGATAGAGGTAGAGAATTTTTCATTATAAGGGATTCTAGCCTTTGGGTTTGTGGTTTGGCCATTTGGGTCGTTTGTTGGAAGTAGAAAAGAAAAAAACAAAAATACATGTAACTCTGTCAGAGGAAGGTAGAACTGAGCTTTGTACCTAGTATGGAAAATTTTGTGGTATTAGAATGAAAATAAAGTGAAATTGAATTGGAATGAAGGTTGGAGTTGCAGACACGTTTTTCCGGCCAACAAGCCCACAAATGAAAGAGAAGGTAAAAGAGAAAGTGAAACGACAGCTGGAGTTTTACGGTAGAAGAAAAGGGTGAGGAAAAGGGTAAAATGATATTTTTATTTTATTTAACATTAAAATTAAAAATAATTAATAATTTTCTTAACACCTGTGCAAAAATCTAAAACGACAAATAAAGTGAAGCAAAGAGAGTAAAATGATATAAAAACTCAAAAAATTACAATTAAGAGGTGTCTAAATTAATGAATCTTATTTATAGAGATTTTAAGTTAAAAAATTCATACAGTTTTTTTTTTTATTCATAAATCTTAATTAGGTTAATATCAATTACATAAATATTTTAGTGATAACTTTTTTTTATTAAAAATAAATTTAAATTCGAGTTATATATCATATGTAGATGAAGTGAAATAAAAAATAAAAAATTACTTTTTATCACATAATTAAGATAAAAAAAAAAAGTTATCAATATTATGCAATATTTTACTCGTTTTATCATGATGCCTTCCATATTTTTGCACTTAACCATATCTTAGTGGTAGGTGACATCACTCCCATGTTACTCGCAAAAGAAAAATGCACTTATTACCCCCTCCCTCCCCCCAACAAAACAAAGTGTACTAATATTAAAGGTGAAATTCAGTGCTGGAGACAATTAAGGAACTAAATGAAATACTGGTAAAGAACTGGACTAAAAGTTGTATAAAATAAATTAAAAAAGCAAGAATAAAAATAAAAGTTAGTAGGTTCTATTAATAATTTTTCAAAAGTTAAAGAGGCTAGGCTCCCCATCTCCACAAATGGTGAAATCACAAGGCTTCAGAAGCATTTTTTTTCATGATTTTGAGGTACATTAAGTTTAACATTTTCAAATTACATGAGATTAGTAAACTTTTTTGGTAATTAAAGAGATTAAGAGCACCCACTCCAATCCAAGTAAGTGTCGTTTGCCCTAACATTAATGTCAAAATATTGTACCAACAAATGAGGTAAACCAGTGGAATACATAATTAAGCTGAAGAATGATAGAAAAGGTAACCATGAATCTAAAGACAAAAAGGTACCATGAATGTTGTTTGCACTGCATATATACATTTTCTTTAGTTCTTTGACCCTAACCTAACATTACAGAAGTTAAACTTAGTAAGATGACAAAGTTAGCCTCGGCTTTGCCAAGTCTCCAAGGTTCAAAGTGAATCAAACCACTTCTAGTTTTTAATCATTAGCCAGAGTTATGAGCTCGGTTTGCATCCACATGTACAACATTCGAGTTCTCTGTGTAGTTTCTACAGGTGAAAGTAATTCCAGCAAAGATTAGACAAAGGAAATCAAAGATCGGAAAACAAAGGACGCTATTCTACTTGACTATCAGTATGCCATGTACGTACCTGAACTTCATTTTGAAGTCCTTTGATATGCTGCACTGCAAGGTCCAACATGTCTGCGTAGCTTGTTTGCTGCATAAAGATTTGTAAGTTAAGACATTATACATGACAATATATTGACTTTAAATAAAAATTTGTAGAGCCCGAGTATACAATGTATAGTGAAGCCACTAAATGATAAGGACAGAATCTAAACTCCTAAATAAAGGGATCTGGAACCAAAAATGCACTGTTAATACCTTGTCCATATTGGGAACAAGATCTTGTAATTTCTTGAGTTTTCCACTTATCCTGGTTCTTCTCTCCTGAACGCATAGAACATGTTTACGTAACACAAGACAAGTGAATATAGAACTACATCCACGAGAAATAAAGATCGTGTAAGCTTAAAATTTTTCATATAATTTGCTGAAAGCTTCAGTTTCGAAGTAAAATTGACAGCATTCAGCTAACAAAGAACTAAAATTTAAGTTTGCAATACAGTTTGCTGTAAATTTACACAATGCTTATGGGTTAACATTCAATTTATAAACCATCATTATCCCCCTCTTAAAAAGCAAAAAAATTCTAAGTTAGCAGCATATGGATCTTTTAGAAGCCAATGAGTAACAGGATCCTAGAACAGCTCTTGCTTCTTTCTTACACTCTCTCCCCTACCTTTTCTTAGTTATCATAGCAGCCTCTTAAACAATCCTGAAGACAGTAATCTCAACGTTCTCTCACATGCAAATTATATTTCCAAATATAGAAGGGGAAAAGGAGATGAGGACATAGGGACAAGGAAGATACGTCTTTCATGTGTTACCAGATTCATATTGTATTGGCTCTAATAGCATCAGCATATCTGATGTAAACAATAACAGATATAAACAAACTACTATGCTTAAAGATCATCAATACAAAATTTTAACCTGAGTGTCAGGGAGCTAACTATTTTTAAATGAGATCCCAAAAGTAGTCTGATCTAGTGATTGATATGCTCCTATGAATTTTTTGAATGGAAAATAACCAGTAGAAATTAAAACAAAAAATTTTATTCCAGCCAAAAAGCCCAAAAAGAAAAAAGAAAAAAAAAAGGACTTCTTGTCATGCAAACGTGTGCTTGGAAAAGTACCAAGTTTTTAGAGTATCAAGTATTCGGACTGATAGCCTATAAAACTTCTCTGATTGGAAAGTTATTGGCCAAGGGAAATCAAAACAAAATGTTCAATATTTTCATTATTGAAGCAAAGACATATCTTTAATAATTTTTGATCAACTAGAAGTTAGTGCTTAGAATATGTTCTAATGGCCACAACTATTAAATATGGAGAAGAAGTTTTTTCTGTGAATAAAGAAGCATGAAATAGATGCATTCAGAATGTAAAATTTGCACAAGCCTTCCCAGTTATCTGAGCATATAATTCAGAATGGTGTTGAATATTTTCATGAAATTGATCATTAAACTATAATAGGGACACAATTTGAAAGAGTTTTAGGCTGCTTTAAGAATCTTTGAAAAAATCCATATTTCTTGATTCATTCAATTTTGAGCAAATCTACTGTAAGATTTTTATTCAATCTTAACATACCCTTTCAGCAATACTTCTAGGGTGAGTGGCACAACCACGCTTGGCACGGATTTTACAAGGCACTGAATCTTCAGGGATATTTAACAGCTTCTCCACTGTAGCCATCTCAAGTGTTGTTTGGGGCAGGCTAAACTGAAATCAACCATGAGTCAGAAAGCTGAAATTAATAAAATAACTAATTTACCCGAAAAAAGAAAAGTAACTAGTCAAATCATTATAAAACATATTGTTTAATTATAAGGGTATTCAATAACAATGAATATACCTCTATGAACTAAAAACTGTACTTCTAAAAAGGTGCTTCCATTTGACTACCAGAACCATATGTTTCAGTTTTCCAAACATACACTGTTAATCCACCAGAGAGCAGAAAGACTAAAATTTTAGAAAAGAATTGTTGGCATGCTAATCTTATGTACTCAGTTTGGTTTCTCTATAACCTCTATGTTCCTTTGTTTTTCTTGGCCAGCAACCTCTGAATTTTCATACATACACTTGCAGCATCTAAAGTTGTAAGAACCACCAAAGGTATTTTCTTTAAACATTTCATGCAAATCAGTACTAGAAATTGACAATGGCACCAAAACAGATTGAAAGTTATAACATTGTAATGCCCTGATTTGAAAGCAGTGAACTATAATAGCACACACTTGATGTACTCTCTTCTCCCCATACCACATGCTTGCACACATGCACACATATACACACACATGTTTGATAAGGAAAAAAATGAAATGTAGTTTTTTAAATCTAAATATATATCATAATCTTATTAGATATAGAACACAAACAGCTCCTAGTTACACGGATCATAATGTCAGTCAGAAAAGTATTACCACCTGAGTTTCCAAGCCATTTAGGCAGTTATAAATGTCTCCATCAATATTTTTTGCTCTCTTATTTAGTGGGGCAGAAAACACAATGGAATTTGTATTATCCCATGAATCCATTCCAAAGCTTGTAGAAAAAGAATGTGAGCCACTTTGGTGGCCATTGTTAGAGTTAACACCATCAACAATATTCTCATTCACTTCAGAGATCTGAGAGAGAAAATCCTGTCCAGTGAAGCTCAATTGGGACTTCAACCTTGATACCCCATGGCTACCATTAGAACCACCATGGGAATTAAAGTTTCTACTCCCCCTGGTAACTGCAAAATGTGATAGCAATGTTATCCAAAATTATACAAAAAGAGTTATAAAAGTAGAAGTGAAAATTGACAAGCAAGACAGTCGTACTGTGCCTTAAATGAATTCACTTGAAAATGAAACAAAATCAAATTCATTTGCACACTAAACACACCGTATATGCTTGACTCATTTAAAAGTGTGGATAACTTCGTTTCTAAATTCCATCAAAATGGATAGACTTTTAATTAACCTAGAAACCAATTTCATGATTTACAAGTTTACATGTGAATTTTATATCTTTCAATAAAAGCAAACTAAACATAAAGGTGTGAAATTGGAAATGAATTCCACAATTTTTTAATCAAATGAAACACAAAGGTGTAGAATTCAAAATCAATGGATTCTTTTTTTTTTTTTTTTTATCATAATTCAAATTATGAAATTAAAAAGAAAAGAATTTTAGCCAAATTAAAAAGGTGAGGATTTGCAAATGATTCTACACATAAAATGGAATTCATTTATGCCAAAAACTTAGGTAGTGTAAAGATAAGAAGCCTAAATATCATTAAACTTTAAATTACAACACTTACTGAACTCAAATTAGACTCTGCTTGACTCCAAATTCTAAATTAGCCTCCCATTAAATCCCCAAAACCTTGCCTTTTAGTTACCTAATATATACTTCAGCTTTAAATAGGGTTGTCTTGGTTTTCTTTCTTCAATTGGAAAACAAGTTAGGAGGGCCAAAGGTCCTGATACCCATGTTATTCAAAAAGAAAAAGAGTTGGGAGGGCTTGGTCCTAAAGCCTTGGTATAGTAGTTAAGCTGGAGGATCCGGTTACTTTAGATTTCCCAGTTTTTCCACTTCCAAGGTTGGTATAGTTTATCACTGTTTTTTTTTTCTCAAGGAAAATGACATTTCATTCATAATTTGCTAAGGCACCTCACAGAGCCAATTAGTAGTCAACAAGTAATGCCTTATTCAATAGCAACCTAGAGAAAACATGGTAGATTACCCCCAGAGAACTACAATCCCACTCCATTAACAGAGAACCATTTTGGTTACTGCAAGAAAACCCATCAACCCAGGGGAAATTCCACATACACTCCAGGCCGTAATGTGATACCACCCTTTCCACCAGGACATACAAGCCTGATAAGTCAGAAGACACCTACAGAGAGAACTAGGTAGCCCACCAATAGAAGGATTATTAAACCTAAAGCCTATGCTCACAGGGTCTTTCGACACCAGCAGGCCATGCAAACCAAGCTGGAGAGAATTATTATCCTAGTACCACTAGCTTACAGGATCTTTCCTCTCCGGCTGGCACCTGGCAACCAAACACTAAAGACTCAACAGGGACATAAATTCTTAAAGCTAAGAGACTGTGGTGCAATTATTCTTCAACATTTCAACTGCGCTGCACAACCCCTGGCTGCCTTAATTGTGCCGACCCACCAAACCATCTCAGTCCAGCATCTGCGTTTCCAAACGCATCCCCTCAACCCCCTCTCCAACCCTGACGTCCTCAACACTGTCCATGGCCATCAATTGGCTGTCTTCCTATCCAAAAAGCACCACCCCTTGTGCAACCATGGCACATAACCCCTACTACCCCACCACCTCCAGCGCCAGAAACCCTGCATAACCTTCCACTGCATCCCTTGACCCGCTACAACACTAGCAGCACTGCATCAGTCACTCATAGCCACAGCAACCCACAAGGCCACAACCACTGCATTACCCCCACTACCCTAGCAGTTGTGCAAGAGGGTCAAAACATATCACTGATGTTCTAATAATTTAAAATTTGTCATGCGATTTGTTAAAATGACTAAATGTCTGGTTCTGATTTGTCAGTTATTGACAATAGAAATGTGAATTTAGGGCCAGTGTAATCTAAGACAACCTTTGTACATGATATTCACATTTTACATATGACATTAGTTTATCTTATAATTTATTTTGTTACTCTGCAACATTTAAATAAAGACAAAAGTCCAGAAAATGGATATCCGTGCTAATGGAATTCAAGTAAAGATTTCAAATGTAAGATTCTGACTAACATCATAGAACTTTTAATAGAACTATTCTTAAACCATCATTGATCAAAGTATTATTGAGATTGGATGTCAATAGTGTGCTGGGATTGGAATGTCTTGATTCAAAAGGTATGTGGCTGATTCCACAAGTTATGAGGATATTGATATTGAAGTCAAGAAATGATGATGCAAGTGAAAAACAAGTGCAACTGATTTTAACTTTTGAGAACTCTATTAGTATGTTTGAATTGAGGGGAATGGAGGGGAAGGGAAGGGAGGGGGAAAAAGTTCTTTAATTGGTTATCAAAACAATTGAAGGGGAGGGGAGGAGAGGAGAAAATTTTTCTTTACTTTATTTTTTCTTTTAATTTAGTTACTTATCCAAATAAGGGGAAGGTAGGGTAATGGAAGGATATAATTCCCCTCCCCTCCCCTCCATTCCCCTCAACACAAACATAGGGTATATCTTATATTATCTAAATGTCACTAGTTCTCATTATAGCAATAATGCAAGTGATCCTTGAGCTTGAGATCACCACAATATCCTACAAAAGAATTTACTTGTTTCTATGTTGTTATATGTGTCGTTAAAACAAGAGATGCAAATAATACAATACTAGGGTCAGTCATGAACTGGTAGTGTTGGGTCAAAATAGGATTTGTCACTCCTAAAAATGAGAGCAAATATCTCATGGTTCCTTGGAGACAAGATGACCGGTAAGGTCATAGTGTGAATTACATCTCAACTCCATTTGGAAAGTTTGTTTTCTCTAGAGACAAGGATCGCCAAGATCAAGCATATGTACATGTGACACATACTTTGCTCTGTGATTGATTGAGATATCACATGACAAATTTATTGAATTACATAATAATAGTCCATGAAAGGTATGCAGAATCATTTACCTTTCCATTAGTTGGGAAACCATGATGTGTTATTAAACACTGCTAGTATATTTTAAAAAGTTCTTCTAGACATATTCCCAACAAGGGTCACATGCAATAGAGCATGAGTAGAGATTTCAATTTATGAGTTGAATTGTGACTAAACTAGTTCTACAACTTCAATAAGATCCTCAATATAAATATATTGATTCCTTATAATTAAAGAATTCTTATAGTTCAAAGGAAATTAGAAATTTAAAAATCCAAATAAATATAAGATTCCTAGTGTGAACAAGATTCCAGATTGGTATTTTAACCAACTTTTTTTTCCAATCAAATTAAGAGATTAGCCTTATTAAAAAAATCTTTCCATTTAAAATGTAAAACAGGTTTTAGTGTAATATAAGTCATCGTTCCAAAATTTTTATCGAAGATCTTGTGAAAACAGGCACATGGCCTGCATCTAAAGTAAAACCAATTGGCAATAAATGAAGTAACTCTCCTTATATTTAAATCACATGTTTATTTGTTATGTTCTCAATATAGGATTTTCGCACTCAACACACCTTCTCATGTGCAGCCCAGTATAAATGTCAGGTCTTATCTTGTGTTTTAATACATCTCTTATAGATTTGTCTAAAAACTAAATGTTAAATTATTATTTTCAAAAACAAACCATTAGATTTAAAGTTCTATTAATGTAGATAATGCATGTCAATTTTCATATTAATCTAACATTTATAATCCTTCAATCAAAGAAACTTTATTTAATGATATGTATTTAACAATGTTAAATGTTATGCAATCAACAAATTAGTTAGGCCTACTAGATGAATCTAAAAATTAGCATGCATAATTTACATAAATGGAACTTTCAATTCAATTGTTAGTTTTGAGAATATTAATTAAAACGTGAATTTTCAGACAGATGCTCCAAAAATATATTGAGAGGAAGAACTACAGAACAAATTTTCAATCCAACAGTTTTGCAAAATATTAATTAAGAAACAGATCTTAGAATGAACTACGAAACATTTTTTACTATATATATATTAGTAGTGTTTGTTTAGATTAGTTAGCTGTTTAAACCCAACAGATAGCTTATCATTAATATCTTCTGATAGTCATTATTTACTAGCTGATTACGAACAGATTTTATAACGCTAAAACAAACATTATCTAATTTCGTTATTAAATCTAATTAGGTCATTTAACCAACCCACACGGTGGCATTCTGTCAATTCCTTTCGAGTCAACGTTTTTCTTAGAAGAGTGCGAGCTTGCATTATACATGTGTATTTTAAATGACAAATTGCTAATAACCGAAAATGCCACCATTAAAAATCAAAAGACCCAGGATGCCACTTTCAAAAAACAAAAACCCAAACAAAATCTTTAAAATTGGGAGAAAAAAATTGACTAAATTCAATAAATAGTTTATTAACCATGTAATTTATTTCAGTTTAGTCTAAAAATAATTTTTTTCTTTCAAAGTAAATTATAAATTATCAATTTTGTTTCAAAATGGTCTACTTGACAAACATTCTGTAATTAGACTAACGGAATTCCCCTAAACTTTTTGAAAAATGTTAAATATAATATATATATTTTTATTTTTTACAATATTTTATTTTTGAAGTTCAAATTTTTC